ATTGCATAATGGCAGAGGTGGGCAATATTGCCGGTTGAAAATGGCTCTAAACAACAGCAGTAGGTGGCACTATTTGGTAAAGACAATACAAAATGAAAATCAATTTTCAAGCATCCAAATTATGGCAGCAGTAACCACCTTTGAATAATGTCACACACTTGTCACCCTCAACCAATTTTTTCTCTTCACATTTTTCAACAATAAGATCATGAAAAAAAAGAGACAATGATCAATAAATAGTATAAAAGTACACCTGGATAAAATGATTATGTTGCAATATATAATTATAAAACTAGAATCTGATCCTGGGTAGCCTTGTACTTAAACTGGTAACTATTAGGTTTACTACAAATATTTTAGAGAGGTTTCACTGTAGTAACATTTACCATAAATAATGATGTAAAACTGAAGTCATAAATGTTACATATAATAATCCAAAAGGAATGTCTGTAAAAACCTAGGCTTTCCAACAAGTACTTCAATCTCAGCAGCATACTCTAATTCTATATTGCATACCTTTTCTAATATCTATATGTTTTTGACATCTAAGTTCCACAGTTGAAAATGAACAGCCAATGAATTCTGCTTCATTTCAAGGACTTCACAATGATGAGAAATGGCCGTTTTTAATGGACATAAGACAATATGTTTAGTTAGTCTAGTAATTTTAAGATGTGATTATTGTCCCATGGCTATCATTTCTGATTGTTCCTCTTTTCTTCAGCTTCTTGGTCAACATTTGATTGCAGTAAAATCTATGTAATCTTTCTAATAAAAAGTGTAAAATCTCTGCCTATCCTTCTTCCAAACTGGAGATACATCCATATATAATCAATACATGTACAGAAAATAAGCAATGTTTCCGTAACATTCATACTGATGATAGGACTGAATCAGCCACATCTTTAAATACCTTCTAGTTCTTGTTTCTGACCACTGTGGATAGTATACAATACAAAATCAAGAAGACTGGCTGAGAGTTGAAGTCTGTGGAGCACATGGAAGCTAAAAAGGATGGCAATATAATGAGAATACATTTGCGTGGTCCAAAGGGACAATTTGAACAGATTCCCCTGAAACAAGTTGGTTCACATTCAACAACTGTATCGCCATGACTACGCTATAAATTCTACATTTTAGACCTATTTATCCAAAAAAGAGCAAATGCTGTCTTCACAGCAATCTAGTTTCATTTGATTAAAACTACAATCAACAGAAACTGCTACAACAGTGGGACTAATATCTTATGGGACTACAAGAATCAGTATATTCAATATGATTAAAAATATATATATGTGTATATATATATATATATATGTGTATATATTGTGACCTCCATAACTATGAAATAGAATATGGAGATATATACTTGGGCATAATGCTACACTGGTGCATCTTTTCAGTTTCTGATACTTGGATTGTAGTTAATGATTTTTGTGTTTATAGATGATTTGTCAAGAATACAGTTAAAGTATATGCTTTTCATTTCACAGAATAGATTATGAACCCTATTTCCAAGTCTCTACCATCTATGTGAATCATTCTTTGCTTGTGTATGAAGGCTGGAAAAGAAAATAGAAAAAGAGGGGAAAAATAAGAAAAATTCCAGATATATACTGGACATGAAGATGGAATGAAAAAGCAGTTTATATATTCCCATACACAGACAACAGTACATATCAATCTCAACATCCTGAGGGCAGAAGAAACATCCACACCACCCACCACACACGTCCATATCTTGTTAAACTGCAGCAACAAGGAAATACACCCACTTTATATACCTACTGTTTTTCATATGGCATATATATATATCTCCAAGTCTACAATTGATATAATAAATTTTCTGGTTCTCTAAAATGCATTGCAATCATCACTCTAAATAATTCCTACTATATCATAGCCCATTAATCAATGATCACTATATATGGAAAAAACATCAAGGCAAACTTAGGATGGAATGGATGACATCAAAAATACATCCTATTTCTAAACACGAAGATGATGTTGTCATGGAGCAGTTGCTATTTCTCCGAGTTTGGGTAAAACATCTGCTAAGAGGAAACAGAATCACAGAATCGCATTCTGAGTAATGCTCTTTCTCACATAAAGATAACTGGCATCTATCTAAGGTATTTGACTTTATTCTAACAATGCAATTAGATTGTCTACAAAAATATGCAAGCAAAATCATAGCATATGTCATTAATAAATTTGTCAGCTCTTTAGGGAGTTTCCAAGATCACATTCAGGGATACATGTTTTTTTATCTAATAAAAGGAATACCATAATTTCTGTTAACTTGAAGATGATAATGAATATGCCTGTTATACTACTTATCATCAGAAAAAAAGTGAATAATATTATACTGTTTTATTCAGTAAACTAATGATGTGTAATTAACTTTCAATAAAATTACCAATTCAAACACTCCTACACAGTTCAGTCCACTAATATGGCACAACTAAAAAAGTGGTTATAACGGCAGTCTGCAAATCTTTTGCAATCAAAATAAAATGAACTAATGAACAGAACTGAAATCAGTTCTCTACTCTACCTAATGTTTTCCTAGGAAAATTTGAGAGGTATTTGAGCAATGTCACTATCTTGGCTTTGGATACTACTTTTTCATGTCATGTAACAAAAAAAAACAATCTGCTATGTGAGACAATTACCCTTTTCAGATACAGTTACAAGAGGAATATTCACTTTGAATGGACTCTTCTCTACTATTACAATTGGAAACCATACCTCATACAATAATGCTACAGACCCTTACTTGAACTAAATTTACATACAAATTTCATTGTTTTTGATAATTTCTTTCTTACTTCACTGAGGGAAACAAAACAACTTCACTGGCTGAAATCAAATAAACTGAAGTATGACAAAAAATCTTAATGGACAAAACATATTTTCTAATACCTTTCTTCCCCTGAAGAAAGGTTAAAAGAAGAAAACTGGATATTATTAATTCCTCCATATATCATATTAGTGAAGTAACTATGATACTGGAATCCACTGTTTTGTAGCATCTGAAATTAGATATACTCTGTCTTTTATGGATTCCATCAAACCTGTTGTCTATAATCATTTAATATCTAGAAATACTAGAGATATACCCTGACATAAAGAATCTTGAATATAGAAAAAATACTCATATTTGTCTATCCTCTACTAAAACAAAAACTGATGCAATAAATAATCCCTGTGGAATTCTAGCTATAATGAAATTCTTGCACATTTTAAACTTCCTGGACCTGGCTCTTGGCCATTGTGAGGCATTCTGAATATATCACATCTCTCTATTCATCATTTGTATATGTGCTTTGCTACAACACTGATCCCATTACTGACAAGTAAAATTTTCAGTGAAGTCCAGCATTAGTGCATGCCCTTCCGTGCTTCGGCAATTGCTCAGCTTATGGTTGGAAAAGCAAGATTTTATCTTTTCAATTGGGACATATGCTCATGACACTGTGTAACATCAACTGATGTCTGTGATTATTCACCATGATATGATAGCACATTACCCACTGGCAATGGTCTACCCTGAGTCTTGCCCTTCACTCTGTATGATTACATTTCAGCAAATATGGAATATCTGTCTCTGCCTATTGGTTCACATGTCTTCTGTCTGACTTCTTACTGTTATTCTGTAGAACCTTTACTATGCTTTTGCAAATTTTTGTCTTTATGATGACAAAAGAAAGAGAATGTAACTTTTCTGTCCTTATCTGGTGAAGTTATCCTACATTTACCTGTGTTTAAATTGGAAAATTACACATCTTCCATTCCATTCTATAGAGAGCAGTATACTTGTATCTACTGTGTATATACACATTTTCTCTATTCTTGAGAGTTTACTAGTTTCTTCCTTGCTATATCTATCATTAACATGTTGCAATAACAAATATGAATTACTGTCTGAACAATAATTCAATGCTATTCATGTTTCTTACAGTAAAGGTGCTATCTTATACCATGTGAAAATCAAATATGCAAACTTGCTCATATCCTGTGTTTGCCTCCTGTAGATGACTACAACATAGGCAGCAACAAAGCAGGCAACTGCATAGAGAGCAAGTAATGATAAGCAATTCAAAGCCAAATTCATTTTGCAATAACTATTATCCTACCAAGTCTTCACCTCATTGTCACCTTATCTGTAGAGCAGGCAGTGCCTTGTGCTACTTGATTCATGTTACAACTGTCAAGCAAGAAATATCCTGTAGTAAAAATAATAAAAGTCCTTTACCACTGCATGTTACTACCTACAGCCCCTTCCATAAATTGACCAGTTAATCTCAAACACAAACAGAAATTCTGCTGCATTACCTATCAACATTTATGACTATTCACTGTGTGCTAGTGATTGATATGACAGATTGAAGAAAACAGAACATGAAGATGCAGAATTCAAAATCATATTGTATCAATAGTCCCTATGATAAAAATCATATATAAAAAGAAAAAGTCTTCTACATGCACTTTTCTTAACCTAAGGCACAACAGTGCACAAATAGAAGATACAGCTGGCATAATGCATTCAACAGTTCATCCAGACAGAAACAAACCAACTTAAAAGGGCATGAAATGCAGAACCCTTCCTAAAAAAAAATAAATCCATACTTGCATGGTAATGTTTTCAAATCCAAATTGAAAAAAAAAAAAAAAAAAAAATTGAAAATTACAATGAATCCTTCATAAGTGATTTCTACATACATACATACACATGCATTTCAGTTTGTGCAATGAGGTTACATCAGCAATAAACCAATATAATATCTTTGATCTTTCATCCCATGGAAATTGTGTCAATATCTCCTATGCAAATCTTTTACCACTGCTTTCATAAAAAAGGTAACAGAATAAAAATATTGTACACCCGTTATGCAGAGAGATGGTCTAGCTTCTCTCCCACTATTTCAGTTCTACAGTTCTAAAGAATGGCCTACAATATTAGTTTCTACTGAGTAAAAGCAACACAAAGAGAAGAATAGAAAATATTGGGGTTTATTGTCAGTACACATAAATGACCCTGAACTTATAAGAATAAGCATTTTTTTCTCTCTCCATGTTCTTATTACTGTTTACATATAAGTGTGAGTAAAGATGCAATATAGGACACATTACGAGAAATGAAGTTTAATGTAAGGCTTGATTTTTTTCTTTTTTTTTTCTTTTTGTTTTCTCCTGTCATTTATGTAAATCATATTCAAGGAGTTGGAAAGTGGTACAATAAATAGAAAATGTAGTTTACCACCCATATATGTTACTCTTTCGAGGAAAAATCTGCACTATGTCAATAAAGATAGTATGAGATAGAAAGATGAGTGTTGCAATGCAATTCATGTACTAGCCAGTCAATGGTCGCAGATCAACTCTCACACGTTCGTCCAAACTTCCCATACTGATGCTGGGGAAAAACCCTCCTTTGGGGAGAGCAACCTCTCGCCTGCCGATCATCTGGCCATTCCTTGTGAAAAACACCTGAAAAGTGACATAAATGGCTTAAGTGTGAGAAAATGTGAAATTCAACTCTCTGGCTCAACGCAAGATAAAACTCATGAAACTAGGGAAAACCTGTAGTAACAAAATCTAGAAGTTGATGACCCAAATTGGGTTTCTAAAAAGAGGGGGATATGACATAACACAGTAAGTAATATATTCCTGACTATTTCTAACTATTTCTTATATAACAACAGACTAGTTGCATCATAGGATACATCAAAATAATCACAGAACATATTACTGTACAGTAATATTCATATAATGTCTTTCATATTCCATTATGTTAGGCTAATTGGTGATTTTCTTGTCAAAGTGCTCCTAACTTCTTCAACTACTGTAAGTTAACTATCTGTGCAGATTTTCTCAAAACTGCATGTCACTTGCTTTTTCAGTGTAGCAAATTTCAGACCAACAAACAATTCTCATGTTGCTGTATCCCAGTACCAATTCCACATAGCAAACCATTTATGAATTCACTCAAGTCATTATTCCCACATAACTCCTACTGTAACCCAGTAATATCATGAGAATGAACTAAGAACCTTATACAGAGTACAGGCTAAACAAATTTTATTTTCCAAACTCACAATAAATCAGTGTTAAGAAGTTATATTTGTGAATTGTAATTCTCTCTAGAATCAAGACTTTAATTGAAATATAGCTTGGTGATCTTGCAAAGCAAAATACAAAGATATTAGTGACTAAAGAAAATCCACAGGAAAATCACAGGGGGCCAACCTGCACTTTTCCTCCAACTGGATGATGTCGTGAAGGTTCAAGTGAGTCATCCTCCTCTTCTTCCTCATCATCTTCATCGTCATCCTCCTCCTCCTCTGAATCAGTGGTGAGTATGTGGTTGTGGTGCTGGTGTTGGTGGAGACGTGGATACTGTGGTGAGAAATCTGGGGGCAGGCCAGGCTGGGGGTACTGTAATAAATGTTCCAGCAAGTCCTCACATTCCAAAGGTTCTGGGCTTTCTTCCTCCATGCTTCCTCCTTCACTGTGGGGATGTAAAATCATGTTGGATGATTGACTAACTTCGTGAGTTTTACACAAATGACTGCAAATGAATCAAGCTCACTGATCACATTTTTAAGCATGATTCTCCAATATAAAACAATTCTATATGAATGCAACATTAAAATCTCAAATTTGAGTTTCAGTGCTAATCTTGACAATGCTGTAGCTATATCCTAGCACTCATTACTAAACACTTTATAACTGTTACATCATAATGTAAATAGGGCTTACCTGTCATAGTTGCAAACATAATCTCTGGGAAATATAATGCCACAACCCATGACATCCCCTTTCTGACATCTTGGCCCAAAGAGGGAGCCCACTGTACTACCTGCAAACACTCTTCCGTCATCAGCATGGTAAGCAATACTCCCTCTATTCCAGCCAGGATGTCTATTTTTTGGGTATTCCTGTGAAAATGAAAGAAAGAAGTATAAATCCCAGCACAAAAGAAAAGAAAAAAGATAAAACAGAATAAAAAACATGCAATGAAAGCAGCTAGAAAATTATAATACTGCATTATTCAGTAAATTATTCATCTATACATACAAACAGTTGAAGTATTAATTTGTACAATTTACACAATAATAAAGCAAATAACTCATCAACATAATGGCCTCCAATAACAACAAATATTTCAAAAGCATAAATGGAAACCATAACTTTACTTTGAACTCATTACCTTTTTCGTCAATCCAATGGTGATGTAACCAGACCGCCCTGGATCAACTATTTCCATTTCAAAATAGTGCGAAGTTGTGTTTAATGGTGTACGGGCTTGAGCAAGGCCAACATCAACCAGGCTCTTACCACGGCCACAGTACTCCAGCATCTGCTTAAGGTAGGAGAAAAGCTTCAATTCAGTTCAACAGTGTGTTTTTATGACAATGAGCTTAGTACTATTTTATTTGTAGGTGTTCATAAAGTAGTATTTCCTTGATAATCATGGTGCATATTCCTGCAAACATAGAACCTTCCTCTTCTTGTTATACTCCATATTCCAGTGATCTATATCTGAAATCATCATCAATCCGGAAGCCCTCATACCTGTCCATTTAGTCGAATGTCATGCAGTCTTAGCCATTCCTCTTCCATAGAATCTACTGACATGTGAGTGTCTTCATCTGGAGGCCAAAGGAGTTGAGGAGACAGTCTGACAGCATCACCAGCTGCTGCCAACCCTACACAAGGGTACAGTCCACCAGGAGGAACTCTTACCATTACGGATCCAACCTGTTAGATATTATAGATTTTTTAGAAACTGTGTGACTGTAAATATAGTGCGGAAAATTAACATATCTGGATATAGGTAAACTTATCTTTATCTCAGACATCTATTAATTAATGCTGTTATAGCAGTGTAACATAACAAACAATATTAAAAAGGTACATAGCTCTTGAACTCCTTATCTTAGTCATTCACTGCAATCTCTCTAAAATGCTTTTAAAAGTCAATAAAACATCAGGTAAATCTAAAAGTAACAAAATCGAACAAACCTCTTTCCCATTTTTTGTGAAGAAAACTGGTACTGATGATGGATCATTTTCAGGTGAGATCTGCTCAAATTTTATTCCACAACCCATGCGATCACCAGCCCCACATCTTGGGCCAAACACCACTCCTCTAGGACGGGCTTTGTATAATCTAAAAAGCAGAAATTTAGGATAAAAGTTTCTATTAATCAAACCTTCAAAATCTTGTACCTAGATGAATATCTTAAACCATAACCAAGATCATAGAGGTTTCTACTCTCTTCTGCAACTTCATTCACAGTAATTCTCCTTCTCATAAATTGAGAATCTGATCACTGAAGAATAAAAAGAGAACCACACACACACATGTACCTTCCATCATCTGCATGATATCCAACACTGTCAGCAGCCCAACCAGGCAGCTTGTGTAGTGGGTATTTTGCAGAACAAAGACCTGGAACAGATACCCAGATGCATTAAAAATTGAAAAACAAAACCATGATATTTACATGAGGATTCAAAGAAAAAATATCATAGATAACAGAAATCACTTCTTGTTATGTCTATGAATTAATTATACAATTCCTATTTAGTTTTGTACTGTGTATTAGGGTATTACTAACAATACAATTAAGTTATGTAAGTTACCCCAACAATACATTTTCTTAGTGCACGCACCACCATACAATATCTTATTTAAACAAGCAGCATGTTACAAGACAGCAAATAATTAACTGTATTATTGAAGGTTATAAGAAGATCCAACATTATAAAGTTGGCGACTAACATGGGATTACCATAGAGGATTAATTAGAGCAACATATTTACACCTTGCAGGTTAGTATATGGAGTACTAATAATATATAAGTTGTGAACAAACACAACAATTGGCGGCGAAGAACGAAAAATGTGAAATGACACTACATAATGATAACACTACTATTTGTGAAATATTGACAAAAATGTTCCCACAAAATAGCATAAGTTAAATGAGCACAAAGCTAACCATTTTGAACCAAATATAAACATGTGCGCAGATGTGACTAACAGTTATCCAGTGGAAGTACAACATATATAAAACAGGATCATCAAATACTGGCATATGTCATTGAAATTTGTAAACAATCTTAGATATAACATCTAACCAAAAACTAAACATTTACCAAATAACCAACTTAAATATGCATAACTTCAATACTAGTATTTAGTAAGCAAAATTAAGTAGCAAAGTTCCAGGAAAGGAAAAAACTACAGCACAAAATACACAGCAATCAATTCTCTCCTATAAAGAAACCTACTTGTACACTAAATTAAGAATTCACAAATTTTCTTAAATCATTCCACAATTTGAGCTATGATACCACAGAATATGAACTGTGATTACACCAGTGTTTTCTCAGCTTTATGTGCATGTCCCTTGCCTCACTTCAGCAGGGAGTGCCAGAACTAAAACTAACATGTTCTACGTAAATAAAAAATCTCACCTATTGATATGGCACCTTGCACACCCATGTCCAATATCTCGATTTCAAAATAACAACGCTCTGCAGATACTGGCATCTCTCCAACGTAAACACCAACTCTTTCCTCCTCCTCCTCTTCACTGTAGCTGCAATATAAACAAGTTAGTGGCAAGGTATGATGAATTTCACTCTCACTCTCACTCTCTCTCTCTCTCTCTCTCTCTCTCTCTCTCTCTCTCTCTCTCTCTCTCTCTCTCTCTCTCTCTCTCTCTCTCACTCTCTCACTCACTCTCACTCTCACTCACTCACACTCACTCACTCACTCATCACTCACTCACTCACTCACTCTCATCACTGATCTCTGCTCATCTCTCACTCAATCTCTCACTCAATCTCTCACTCAATCACTCACTCAATCACTCACTCAATCACTCACTCAATCACTCACTCAATCACTCACTCAATCACTCAATCACTCACTCAACTCACTCTCAATCTCACTCTCACTCACTCACTCAATCACTCACTCA